AAGGAAAGGTCAGGTACAGCAAGGCCATTCAAGAACGAGAATTGAATTCCTTTTTTATCCATTTAAACAAAAAAAAATTCAAAGAAAAAAGACACGATAAAGAAACCCAACGACTTTGACAGAACTTAGAAGCCACCAAGTAATGTATATGGAAACACAAAGGTCGGCGGAATGGCAATGAGTTAAATGTTAATTTAAAAAAAAAAAAACATTGGTAAAGTGCGGTTTTACAAAGCAGGCATTTTACACATCCTTAAAATAATATTCCTGTCAACTTACTATACGGCTGTCGGTCAAAGTTTTCGTATATTTGTACTCGCAAAGAGTTAGGATTAAAGTGATTAATGTAAGGTAATTCGAATGGCGCTTTTACGTTATCCCAATGGATGGGTGGGATTAGACCACGAGGGGCTGGGGGAACTAGATGGCGTTTTATCCCTAATTTGGTCATGGTATTTTATTCAACAACGTTTGTTTACTGATCCTGCAATCGTAATATACCCCATAATAGAATCACTTCATGTTAGAAAAATGATAAGATTGAAGTTGCTTTGTCTTGTCTTTATTTTTCCCTCCCAGTTCCGCCGTGGATTAAAGAAAAGAGATCACGTCATTTCGAAGTTTTCTATACATAGTACTATATATTTTAGTGTTGCCTTTGAATGATGCAGAACTAAAACTACTAATTGCTTTGAAGATCCAAGATATTCGAGATGCTAAATGCTTCAAAACAGCCATTCGATTTTAAAAGTGAGTACCGGAGTGTTTCGGATTATAACGCACCTCACCGAAGAAATTCGAAAACTGAAAATGCCTTTTAAAATAGGATAAATTATGCAAGTATACTTACTACTATACTGACAGCAGCTACCATGAAAACCCGACTTGCAGTAACATTTCCCGTCTGATAACTTTCCCTGGTTGACGCAAAATGTTTGTTTACAAGCTCGAGTTTTCCTTAAGGCCGTGATATTACATGGTGTTCCCCCACATTGCTCTCTTTCATGAATCTGTCTACTGCTTGTTTGAGTATCTCCACACTGGAATGCTGGACACGAGCTCCATGTCGACCATGTGGAATAGACACATGCAGACGCTTTAGTTCCATAACAGATCCTAGTTTCTTGCAACGCGGAGGGGCAAGCTGTTCCTCCACAATTAGAATGCCTAATTATATACCGCGATCGCTGTTCAAAGCCTGATTTCCCGCACTGCACTGTGCTGCACACCGACCAAGAGGACCAAGAAATGACCTGGCAGTTAATTGGCGTATTGCCGTAACATACTCTATTTTCTTGCATGTTGGAGGGGCAGTCTGCCCCACCGCAGCTAGGATGGGTAATCACGTGCCTTGTCCTTTGTTGGTTACCAGAGGTTGCACACTGCCAAGCGCTGCAAGGCGACCAAGAAGACCAATGGCTCATCTGACAGTTCACTGGAGAACAACTGCGGCGTCTCCGCCTGCGTCTACGACTGCTCCAAACGGACTGGNTACTAATTGCTTTGAAGATCCAAGATATTCGAGATGCTAAATGCTTCAAAACAGCCATTCGATTTTAAAAGTGAGTACCGGAGTGTTTCGGATTATAACGCACCTCACCGAAGAAATTCGAAAACTGAAAACGCCTTTTAAAATACGATAAATTATGCAAGTATACTTACTACTATACTGACAGCAGCTACCATGAAAACCCGACTTGCAGTAACATTTCCCGTCTGATAACTTTCCCTGGTTGACGCAAAATGTTTGTTTACAAGCTCGCGTTTTCCTTAAGGCCGTGATATTACATGGTGTTCCCCCACATTGCTCTCTTTCATGAATCTGTCTACTGCTTGTTTGAGTATCTCCACACCGGAATGATGGACACGAGCTCCATGTCGACCATGTGGAATAGACACATGCAGACGCTCTAGTTCCATAACAGATCCTAGTTTCTTGCAACGCGGAGGGGCAACCTGTTCCTCCACAATTAGAATGCCTTATTATGTTTCGCGATCGCTGTTCAAAGCCTGATTTCCCGCACTGCACTGTGCTGCATACTGACCAAGAAGACCAAGAACTGACCTGGCAGTTAATTGGCGTATTTCCGTAACATATTCTTTTGTCTACCATTTTGGAGGGACAGCTGGCCCCACCGCAGCTTGGATTGGTAATCACACGCCTTGTCCTTTGTTGGTTACCAAGGGTTCCACACTGCAAAGCGCTGCACTGCGACCAAGTCGACCAAGAGCTGACCCGACAGTTCACTGACGAACATCTACGCCGCCTCCAAGACTGGCTCTCAGTTATAAAATTTAAAGTTAATAAGAGAAGAATTAAAGCCTTAGTCGGTGTTCTTGGAAGCATCACTGACCCTGCTTAAAATTAAGGAAATCTTACGGATTCTAGTAATCCTTTTTTTCGGAGCTGACTACCAAGAAAACGAGCTCAGAACGAAGTGATACAACAAGGTCAGCACCTCCTGAGATTGCGGTAAGATAAAATTAGTCCCCCGCGGTATTTTTTGATATCGTAAGCGGATGGGACAGGACTCGCAGGAAACGATACTACTGCAATTTCTTAGCAGAAAAAGTCCTTTAAAAACCCGGACAGAGTGTCACGCAAAATTAGTTTTAAGAATTCTTTAAATTTTCGTGTTAATGAAAGCCTATTATCCGATCAATTTACCGGAATGGCGTGGAAGTGAGGCGTGTTGCGTCATATCAGAAAAGGGCTCAACCGAATTTAGCATAACGTGCATGACAGGTCATACAAGGCTTCAAAAAGCCAGAAGAATGCAGAAATGCACATGCCTAACATTGAAATCACATGACGTCACCCCCGTTATATTGTTACTGAAAAGAGGAAAAGAAAACGATGGCCATATTATGATACAAAACATTAAAATGGCGGCTATATTGTTGTACAAAACAATGAAAGGCGGAAAGAAGCCGATTAATAATCCTCTCGTTACGTTGGCCATGTTGGTGTACCAAAAAAAAAATTCGGAGGAGATTTCGCCCCATGTTAGGGATTCCGGAATATTTTTGCTTTGAATCTCGATCCTGGGCTTTGGAATCCGGATTACAGTTCAAGGAATCCGGAATCCCACCAGTGATCGGGATCTGGAATCCAAGTTCCAGTGACAGAGAATCCGGAATCAACTAAACACTTTCCTCACGCAGAAACTTTCTTTGTTCCATGAATTGTGCTTTTAGCTGCTGACCATGTGGGTGAAAATGATTGTTTATCTATCTTACATGTGTAACAGAATACGATCTTTAGACTGCGAGCAGTTTCTTATTTTTCTTTCAATCTTACTGCACGCGAAACCCAAGCGCACTCGAGCCTCGATAAACGAGGGCGCAAGCCCGAGAAGAAAATATATCGTCTCGTCCCAATCCCTTGTTGCAACGTAACGTCGTGGTTTGCAATCGCACTCGCTGAGATGAGAACTAGACGGATTTTAAGAGAAAAGGCGGACTGCAAGCAGTCTAATTAACTTTTGTAACAACAAAAACAACTCGAGAGGTTTTGCAGCCTCCAACCCAGCCTACCCTGTCTAAAATTAAAGTTCAGGTCTATAAATTTGTTTTTACCTCCTTGGTTTAATTATCTAATTATAATATTTATATTTTATTCAAAATTTAGTTAGAAAATGGAAGCCATAAAATCACCGAACGTACCTGAGCAAAACGAGCTGGAACCAAGGTGTCAATACTTCCTGAGATTACGATAAGATAGGATTAGTCCACTGCTGGGGGGTTTTATAGCGGAGCTCCACGCGCGCGCGAGCGCAGCACCATAGCTAGGTAAATCTACCCATCCGAGAAAATTATTTTGAAAATCACGATAAGAAGAGAAAGATATTTTCTAAATTCGAACATTTTTGTGTCACGGAAAGCCTGTTATTCGGGGGTTCAGTGCGAGCCATGCATGACAGGTCACATTGCCAGGCATTCCTTATATGTGATCGCAAACAAACCAAGAACTGTGAAAAATGATTAGAATCAGGTTATGGATGTATTGAACGGGGCCCAATCTTCCGGTACATAATCCTTGCAGAATGCACTTTGAAAGCGAGGCAAAAAGTAATTCGGAAATAGGTTAAAATTATCGCTTTCGATATCTTGACTGCTGACTACTGAGTATCACAAAGGGGGAGAGGGGGTACTCGTTAAATTACGAAGAGGCTCCCCCCGCAATGGGTAACTATTTAATAAACAGGATACCGTCATAGAAAAGAGGGGGAATTTTACTTGTTAAATTATATGAAAGGGAAAGGGTACGGAAATCTGTCATTAACAAGGTTTATATCCTTCATAGCCTGGGTAACAGGCGCTTGGAAGAAGTGGGCGCAAGAGAGAACGGGCGGGGGCGATGGAGCCACGCGTGTCTCCTTCTCGCGCGCCCGTTTTTTCTTGCGCCCATTACTTCCAAGCGCCTTCTACGCAGGCTATATCCTTCATTAACTACATTTCAAGGTTGTACATAAAAAGATGCAGTGTTCTTAACTAGGCATGTGAAAGGGATACCATTTTTCAATGTAAGGTGTTCAAAAGGGCTTCCTCTCATAGAGGAAAGAGAGAGGAGGAAATGCTAAGGGTAGTATGTCACCATTGAGCCTCCCCGTATAACTGCTCAGGTTGTCAGAAGCCTTACCATTATAAGGTTTACCGAAACATTTAAAATTATTGAACAGATATATAAAACACTTGTTGGTTTTTAATTATGTTCTATTATTTTTTCTCAAATGAAAAGTACATAAAGTGGCGTGTTTGAGGAATCTGGTATTAAGTGGGATTCTCACTATGTCAATTGTATTACTTACGAGAGTTTCTCAACTTATTATTTTAAACTTATAAAGAAAACATTATAGTTAGTAATATGATAAAAATAAAGATCAGCGAGCACCCAGCTTTTATATGCTACAAAACAATAATGCAAGCTTCCTTAGCACGTATTCAGTTTAGTATATGTATCGTCAAGTCAGTCTTTAGTTCAGCCATCAACGGCTTGTTTAATCCATCCCTTCGTTACAAATGCCTTTCTCTTCCACCCAGATTAGTTCTTTGTCCTTCGAATACTTGACTTCCAGTTCGTATTTCTCACGTCTTGAGTTGCACTCATCGGCAGGCATGTCACTCCAAACACCGTTGTTGCTGCCAAATTGGGTGGCTCTCTTCCATTTGAACACGTAAACAAGACATATTGTGAAAACTGCGATGACCACAAACACACCGCAAGAAACACCAATAATTAATGGCAGTTTGGTCTCACTGGATAACTCCTTTTCCTTTTGTTTTTCTTCTGTTAAAGGAATTAAAAAATTATTACTTACAGAATAGTGAAAGGGACTGGGACGGCACATCAGCCATAGAGTTCTAAAGTGACGACTTCATAAAAACTGAATTTGTGAAATTATGGGATTTGTCAAAATGTTCTGAAAGAACAACGCCCATGACGTCTACTGGCCAAAACTTAGCCTTTCGGGGCAAATTGTGTCTGAGATATTAGCCCAGTTATACTCCTATGACTCCATACAAATCCTTGTAAATTGACTTGGATCTAAACGTTGGGTGTTATTCTTTCAGAATATCCTGACAAATCCCATAATTTCCCAATTAAATTTTTCATTTCTTTGGAGCTCTATTGCTGACCATGTCAAAACCACCGGACACAGCATAAAGTGGGATCATTTTGATATCTCAGCTTCGGGAGAAACTGATTATCACTGTAAAATCAAAGTAACATTGCATAAACAGGAACTGAAGCCAGCTTTCAATGTAAACGTCAGTAGCGAGAAGCTGATGCTTTATTAATTAGTTGCTTCTTTTTATTCTCTGCTTAATCTCGCTCCCATTCTTTAATTTTCACTATTATACAAGTATAGTTTTCAAAACTGAAACGGTACTTTTGGAAATGTATGTTGAGTAGCATACAAGTTTCTAAAAATTAGTAAGTTGAATATGTTAATCACCGCTGTTTGTGTTCTTTTTCTTAAAAGATAATAATTATTTTAATTATAATATTACAGCAAGGAGCCCAAAAGTGTGACAGGCCTCCTTTAATTAATTCACATTCTTTCATGTACACATTAACTAATCAGAAGTCGAGGACAGTTTCCAGCTGGCTTCTAATTGGATAAAATCTGCACACTTTTTGGGCTCCTTGCTGTAGGTGATATACGTCTATATCATTATAATGATAAGGACAACAATGATGTGAGCTGTTTGACTGTTCCTAAGCAACAAGCTCGAATTAAGAAACGGTCCAGATAAGAACGATAGCAACAACGGCAACGAATATGTTGGAATGCAAAAAAGGTGCTAACTTTTCTATTGTCTGTTCTACTTCTGATTGGCTTAAACAGCAAAAGTTAACAAAACTTCATAAAGCGGTACATATATTCATCCTTACTTTCCAACCATCTTCCATATAACATTTAGACCAGAGTCAAACTTATTGTTTCTTTAGGATACTGGGGAACATGTAAAATTGTAAACTTTTCTTGGCTATTGTTTTCAACTCTTGTGATTGGTCAAAATCTTTTAACACAAAAAAGCACCCTTTTAAAGTGGAGTGTAAAAATACATTATGCATTTATGCATTGTACAAATGAGAACATTCCTATGTGGGGAAAGCACCGTTGCCGCATAACAAAAGAAATTGCTATCCACCTTACCCGGATCATTACTTAAATACTTGTTGAAAATCAGGGATTTCCAAACAGACTTAGGTGCTTTACCACACTTTTTTGAGAAGATTGTGCTCTAGGATATTTTCCCCGACGCCATTGCTCTCGACGCACGCAGTATTCCTAATTGATCTCACTTCAACTGCTGTTTCAACTATGGTATTTCAGGGGCCAACAAAAGATAAAATTTGCCAATGCGAGAAATCGCTGTAGACTTTGTTTATTCCCTCAAAACGAAACGACGATTTAATAGTCATGCAGAATGTACGGTTAACGTTATTATTGTTTGCTCACGGTGAGGACATCTACGGTCGTCACTACATTAAAAAAGTAACGATGATGACTTCCACTCATAAGTTGTCATTATCGTCTTTAATATAAAAAGTTGTTCATTTTCTGTTGTCAAGAATAAACAAACTCGACTGCCATTTCTTGTATTGGAAAAAAATTATCACTTGTTTGCCCCCTGAGGAATCACATGACATCGCTTTTTTCCCATCGGTCCTTAAGCGCGTGCAAAGAAGGCGGGCATCATGAATAAGGTGTATTTTTGAACCTAATTGGTATGTACGCAACTACATCTTCTATGGGTTAACTCGTATACTAATGAGTAAAAATGTAAACAATGACGTCACGATTCATTCGCCCATTCCCGGTATTTACAGTAAAAGGGACATTCCAGTTCCTCTCCAAGGGCACCGTACTTGACTATATTTAGCATTCATTAACTTCTTGGATTTGTTAAGAGGATTAAATTGTCTTTAACCGTTGGAGTAACAAACATCCCAACAGAAACGTTATTATGCTTCTAGTTTAGAGATCTATAACTTCTGAAACTCTAGCAAGCTAAATTAAATAGACAACGTTTTCTGCAATCTTTGATGCGTAAAAAATATGTGGAGCAAGAAAAAAAGTTTCTCGCTTCGCATCGCCACATATCACTTGGGAATTTCCACAAAAGTTACTATCGACAGATACTGTCAGCTTTTCTTAAATTTTATATGGCTTTCATGGAAGGGGTTGACGTTCGTTTGGCCTGGCGTCGAGTCGTGACAAAAATCCTTGGCAACGTATAGCTTGACATGTTTTATTGCCCATAGAGCATCGGTACGGTTGACGTGCAATCAATGCAAGATCAATAAAGTTCTCTAGGGAGGAGTTTGTTTGTTTGTTTGTTTGTTCGATACATAGGACTCAAGGGGTACTAAAACCTAACCTTTTTCAGTATTTCTTAGCTTCAGAGAATTTGGTTCCACCTCTAATATCCCAAGCTTCCCTTTGGCCGCTTCTTTCTTTAAGGGAGCCAAAGCTGCATCGGCACTAACACTTGTGTTAAATTTCAGCCGGAAATCTGCTATAATACTACCAGGCCTGCAAAAGATATCCATCAAGATTTCATTTGTCTGGGTTGTATACTTATTATTGCACTTCTTCCTGTTCTTCTTGTTCTTTTTTAAATGTAATCGTTTTGAAAAATGAAAAATGTTTTACAATTGTAGTTAATTAGTTATATGCGGGAAGTAGCTGTCATAATTATTAGTCTATCTCAACCATATGCATCCTTGTGGCAACGGTGGCTGTAATCGTTACGTTCTTCGAAAAATTGTTTTCAAAATACTGATGATTTCCATTCCGAGCATTATGGTCGCTATGTATGGTTTTAATCAAGGAAAAAAACTCTTCCTTGTAACATTCCATGTTGATAAAAAAGGTCTCATTGTTGAAAGGTGTATTATTATTATTATTATTATTATTATTATTATTTTCAATAAAAAACCTTACCTTAATGAAATTATTTCAACCTCTATTAGTTCAGAGTTCCCAGAATATACCTTTAGAATCTGCAAAGAAAAAAAAATAAGTGTAATTAAAGGTTGCTTCCACTCCAGAAGATAGTTTAACTAAAGCAATAGCCTGTTACAGGACGTTCCCACTGACATGTGGCAGTGAAAAAAAGCCAGATCATCAATCGATCTTTTTCAATGACGTCTTGCGGAATTCATAACAATGCGCACGCACACACGCACTTCATAGTTGTGACAACTTTTGAGTTTATAGTTCTACAGCTGTATATAATTGAAGCAGACCTCTTCCTTAAGTAATGCCGAAAGTCTCTTAAATCTTTCGCTGGTTTCATCCTTCAATCGATCGTCCCACTCTTCGTTGATACGAATTTCACATGTGAACTCTATTAAAAACAAAAACAACAATAAAAAATAAAAACAGTCTACAAAGTTTTAGAAGATAAAAACCATTTTTAGATGTCGTGGAGAAATTTTATCGTTGGTTATTTTCCTCTGCCAAAATCTGATTATTAATTTACCCACAACGTATACGAATAAGAGTCTACAATTACCGGTTTTTGATAAAGATGCCCTGGATTAGGTTATTTTGTACGGGAGGGAAAACTCGCTCCTCCTCGAGTTGGGGTTGGGTGTCTGAATTGATAACCCCTCATGATGCTATAAATAATGTGTAATGTCTGCGGTAAATTATTACATTTTTGCTTTGCTTAATCAGAAAATTGTAATTAAATAATAATTTTGGACCATAACTTAGATGTTACAAGAAACAGTACCGTTATAAGCCTAATTATTTAATCAACTATACCCAAAGTACCCTTTTAAATTAAAATCAAAACTCAATAATAGTTCATAAAAAAACAAAAGAAGTTAATGTTTAATGATTGTCTTTATATCTGATGAAGAAACGGCCAACGTCCAGCTTCTTACACAAACGTACATAACCCCAAATCTAATATTAGCGCAGGAATGAGTTGGTCTATATCAGATATTTTGAAGCCGTTCAAAAAACTCGCAGTCGTGTACATGTATTATCAGGTGCAGAGCCATTTCGTATGAGAATACTGATAACATTTATTAATAATTATTACGATTATAATAATAATAATCTATTATCATTATTGTTATTATTATCAATGCAATAACCTGTCTTGTGTTCAAAGGAGACTTCTTTTGTTGTAGTTTGTGAAGGTACATTTTCCTCCCGCGTCGACGGCGGTGTGGTACTCTCTGAAGTTGAAGTTTCAGCAGTGATTATTTCTGTGAAGAAAAAAAAAGAGGGGCCAGTGAGCTAGTGCAGTAAACTTACGATTTCGCGAGCAAAAACCAAAAATTCCCCTTGCCTATACACTGGGAAAGCCGATCACCACACCTACCCTGGACGGGGGAGTCCTCTGCGTTCAGCGTGTGGTACGCAAGACCCCAAATTAGGCACTAAATACAAACCGACGACGGCGACAGCGACATGACGCTTCATTTCTCTTGGTAACTTATTGCGCTTAATGTTAGTGTTAGTGTGTAGGGTGCGATTCGCCTTCCAGACTCACCGACCACGTCAACATGCCTTGCTTGCTTTGTTTGTAGTGGAAGTACCCGCCCAGCTGCCCTACCCAGCTTACAGGCTGATCGAAAACCTGCCAATGCGAATATAGCCTAACAGGATTAATAACCCCAATTGGCTTTAGGCAGTCTCGTGGCTATTTTCCAGCACGACCATTAAAATTTAAAATTTAAGATTTAAAATAAAGGCGACAGAGAAACAAATCCAGCTTGCGTACGAGGGATAAAAAATTGACTTTTTTTTTTTCTAGTCCGTTGGTACGACCATCAAAGGAGATTACGTATATGGTAATGCTAGCCTTTAACGGAAATGCTAGCTTTTGCTGCCGGATCAAAGCTTCAGCGGTGACCTACCCAACTGTATGTACGATGATACTTTACAGTTGTAAAATTTGATCCTGTGGGTTGAAGGAACAAACATTTCATTTTTCTTGTTGTGTCCCATTTCTTAGTGTTCATAACGACCTAGCAAGTTTTAAGGATGCCCGATCACTCGATACTTGAAGCTAATGCTGCTGAGCCGGCTGGCGGAAATTGCCCATGCAATTTGAGATCTACCTTGTTGCAAAAGGTAAAGATGATAAGGTGGACAAACTGAAGGTTAAAATGTTATTACTTTGTGTTGGGCCAGAAGCCGTCGACGAATACAGCCACTTTGTGTACACTGATGAGAAGAGGAAGATTGCTATTAAACTCTTCCTATTAACAGTGTCCCGATATATCAATACTTCATAAAACAGATAAGAAATATGGGCTTACCAATAGATTGATCGCCCCTTCGTAAGGGAATCGAAGACAGTTCTGGATTCTGGATTCCAGATACTTAGAGGAACTTAGATTCTGGATTCCAATCTTTAGTAGGATTCCAGATTCCTTGAGCTGTATTCTGGATTCCAAAGTCTAGGATTCCCGACTCCCGCTGGAAAAAAATTTCCCGGATTCCGGATTCCGGATTCCACAAGCAAAACTCTCACGGATTCCGGATTCCGGATTCCGTTACAGGGGGCGAGATTTACCTATATCACCACAGGCAGAACAAACTCACGTTACGAGGAAAGGGTGTAAAGTAATTTACTTACCAAAGGTGACGCGTGACCTTTCTGCTGGACGCATCGGTGTCGCGTTACAGGCGACCGTTGAAAATAAGAGACTTTGTATGAGAAATAAAATACTGAGATCTGCGAACTCTAAATAACGTTAAAAATAATTTTTCCTTCAATGAAATAAATTAAAAAGACTTACTTAGCGTTCGAAGATCTCAGTATTTTATTTCTCATAGAAAGTCTCTTATTTTCAACAGTCACCTGTAACGTGACACCGACGAGTCCAGCAGAAAGGTCACGCGTCACATCGTTAGGTGAGTTTGGGCTGCCTGTGATGTCAAGGAAAAATTGAATTGGTCCAAATAAATATGATATTTCTTTATGGGAAAGGATAGTTATCTTCCACTTGAAAATCGGGGCAATCCGTGATAGACCGAAATTTGCCTTATCGGTTCTTACGCGGACAGCAGAGAAAAAGAAAAGAAAAAAAAGAAAAAAAATGTGGTCAGCAGAAGTGTTCAATTCTAAATGACAAGGAGCGGTCGCATAGTACAGAGCGGGTGTCTCAGTTTTTAAGCCGGATTTCGATTTGTTTTCAGTGTCAGGAAGAGTTTCTTGGGAATAGAGTTTTTCACCTTCGAATGCACTGGTTTACACAACAGTTATTGTAGCTGCAGTGTACACCTGTATTAGGATTAAGGATGATCGATCACTTGCCTCGTGTTGGATTGTGTACGGTCAACTTCTGGTTAGGATGCATTGCATTGACGTCAAGAAAATGGAAAGTTTAAGGTCAGTTCTTTTGTTTTTCACTCTTGAGTGGCTATTAGTTGAAGAGTAGACACTTTTTCTTGTTAAGCGAAAGGTTCAAAATAATTTTTCGTTTTTTTTTTTATGCTTATGGCATGTTACTGCATGCAAGCATGTACATTCTGTGAAATGAGATCGATAACCACGCAATTTGTTGTTGTTTGCTTAACATGTCGATTTTCAGTTTATTATTTACGAAAAAATCTGATTTTTTGCTATCTGTATGAAAAATACACCGGAAAGAAGTATTGTTTAGAGACCAGATCAGATGTGCCCAATGGCGAGGAATGATACATAATCCCTTAATATGCCAAAACCCCCCATTCCCCCCAGGCATACCAGGGCATTTGACTGGATTTTTGCTCCTTAAAGTGGGGAAATTGACCCTGCCTGGCCTGCTTGCTCTGGCATTTGATTTTCGTGTCAAAACGCCGTTCAGCATTGCAAGTGAAAGGATCTCATCATTCTTTCATTCAGCATGTGCACTGTGTTCATGGATCATTGCTCCTATATTACTCTTTTCTTTCTTGGAGCATTTGAGAGCCTTTGAAAAAACCTGTTAAATGTGAACTTTCTGGAATCGACAAATAGGGAATTTGAACCAAAATGAGGTACTCTTGGTCGGGCATTTGACTTTTGAGTCAAAACGCTGATCAGCATCAAGATCGAAACGATCTAGCCGGTGGGTTATTTTACCATTTCAACTGCCAACTTGTATACTGGGAAATTTGACCAAAACTTTTCAAAAAAGTCAAATGTCCAGGAGTCTGCAGGGCGGCGAAGCAGGACATGGGCAGTTAAATATTGAAATTGAGTGGTACATGCTTTTCTATCTTCAATGGCTTCAGAAACTACAAGTAGACAATAATGTAAAATATATCGAAGTGAATATGTGGATGTGCAGATTTTTTAAATATTATATATATAGTAGGTTGAGTACGATTGTGCGGGTTAACGTAGTCCTGAATAGGACTGTTGTTGTTGACAGTGACTGACATTTCGACAACCTGTGCGGTAGTCATCTTCGTAGTCAAAATGAGTTCTATCTCACCAGTTGATGGTGTAGACTCTGGTTATTGACCTGACTGGTCAATTAAGTGGCAATGTTAATGGTCGTTTGTCAGCTAAGCTGTGATGTTATTGGCTATGAAGACTAGTAATGTCATTGGTGCATTTTGATCTGACTATTATCTCAGTTAAACAGTCCTTTATCGGCATTGCCAGTAGTCCAGTCGTTCTCTCATAGTTAGTTTTGCCCAGGCTTTAGAGTTAATATTACAAAGACCACAGAGAAATACCTCCTGTGGAAAGAATTATTTATTGAATTTGTTAACTGACAGAAGCAAACCATCACATCCAGGAAGGTGAATGCCAAAATGAATACAACAGTCCTTAAATTTCAATAGTCGGTACACTTTACCAAAGCATAGCACTCTTCAGCTATCTCTTAAACCAAGGTGACACTGATAAATAATCTATCAAATCAGCATCCTCAACCCCCAAAGAATCTCTCTATAATTTGACTTCAGTCACTTCTGGTGAGGTTAGGAAAGTGGCTCGACACATAACAGTACATATAAAGAAAATTAGCATCATAGAAGTTTATGTACACAAGTTTATGTACACAATTTTGTGCCTATTGCAATAAAAATATCTTCCTCTCTGAATAAAAGCCTCATAACATAACTGACAGTATATTGTTTTGAAGAGTTCATGTAATGACAGGTTTGCTTTGGGAAGAAAGAAATCTGAATCAACCCCGCACTGTTTTAACTGGATCACTTTCAAATGCCTATCAATCCTTTTCTTTTTTGACAAATAAAAGTGCCTGAAGGCATCACTATCAGTGAGAGATTTGGTGATAAACTGAAGGCAAAAATAAAGCCACTACACATATTTATTATACAGTGTAAATGTATAAAAAAAAACCTTGTGCATCATACATGTATATGTCTATCAAGCGTTAAAGGCTTTTTTTCGATTGACAGTGCATTGAATGACCTCAGACCTCAGCGTCATGGTTGAAATTTCATGATACAGTGTATTAGCAAATAATATGAAGGCATACCTCAAGTGGTTAAAACCTGAGATTGTTATGGCTACATGAAGGATGTGTATGATATAATAGAATCAAGAGTCAGTTTTGCTAAATGTTTGTTTAATCTAAAATGTATTCGTGACTTTTGTTTTTCAGTTGACCTGAAATTTAATAGAAAACCTATGGTGACCCTTGATGTACTCAGTGAGCCTTTAGAGCGGCTTGCTTTTTTGTTTACTGCATGCTTTATTTTGGAAAGTAAATGATTTTAGTATTGCAATAATCAATTTTGATGAATGATTTCTTAAAAACCTTCACAAATCCTATCTTATTTACAGGGCGAGCTTTTATTTTTTACACAGGAATTGATCTACTAGTCGAAGTTCTTAATTGTATGGTTTTACAGTGTATGTGGCTTAATAATCCTTATAGCGTTTAGCCCTTTAAGTGTCAATTTTGTAAACTAAATTTAAAAAAAAAAATGTTTCACTGCATGTATTAAGTTAGTCATTAAAATAAAAAATATTAGGAGACAGTTCTATACGCATTAATAAAATATTTTTATTAGGTTATATACATGTATATATTATTGTGCTGCCTGAATGCATTTTTATCTAACCGACTACTATTTGCAATATGCTGCATTGATTATTACTGATTCTGCACAATTATTGGGTTTAACAAAAGGAAAGATATGTCAAAATTATATAATATATGTTTCAGATATATTTCATATACTTACATGTACTACATCTATGTGACAAAATGGCTCATATTAATTTTGTCGACTGCGTTTATGTTAACATTACAAACTGTATATGTTCAAAAAATGGGAAAGGACCCTTTCTCGTGCTAGCGATTCGTAATGTAAAAATTCTGATCAGCGGAAAATGATTCATCAAAGTGCTTCCATCAGCCTTGAAAATTGCTTGCAATTTAAAAATAAGTATAACCATATGTTAAATGTATTAGTATATAGTGCCTTTGGTAATTCAAGCAATCTGATAGGTTCGCTATCTCGGACTATGACCTTATATTCACCGCGCGAGGCGGTGACTATAAAGCAAAACAAAATCGCTGTTGTAAACTGGGTGTTTTGCCAAAGTTTCAGAGTAAGAACTTTTTGAAAATACAAGAATATCCTAGTGTTAATGATTCTGAACGTAAGAAAAGACGTCAAGTTGTTTGAACAGTGTGATTTATTGTGAAGTGATTTAAGCTTACTGTAGCTGACTTTTTATACGCTCGAAGCAATGTTCACCACTACAGAGCAAACTTAACGAGGCTGCTTTGTCACTGCCGACGGAAGCAAATAAAGCTCTGCGTTTCTTCTCGGAAGGAATAGTAATTTAAACTTATGACGTTTTCTTTTAAACCATTGATGCTACAGCTTACAAAAAGATCGAAACTCTGATTTCCCATGTTTGAAAATACTGTAAAGATCTAAGTTTTGCGCATCTACTGTTTATGGCTACATGAACCAATCAAACCCGTCAATCGAACTAATCGGTTTTTTTTTTAATGGTTTCCTTTCCGATTCTTCTGAGATCACTTCGTGTGTAGAGACTAAAACAATTATTTACCTTAGGCTCGGTTATTATTGTTGAATAATCCCCTCAAGTTCGCCTCGGGGATTATTCAACAATATTAACTGAGCCTGAGGCGAATAATTGTTAATTATAAAATAACTGAGATAGTACGCGTGATCTGATTGGTCAAAAACCTATGGTTTATTATACCGGTAAACCCATAGAAAAAGGCATCCGGACCACGAGCCATAAACAAAACCCGCTATTGATCTGCAAACGATTTTAGAAAGGCTAAAAAACAGAACAAGTTACTTAC